GTTATACTTCATGATATCACTAATATCTTGCACAATGCAGCAGATAGATAAGTATGTAGATAAGAGCGATCCCTCTGTCTCTCTCCCACCCATTATATAACTGCATGACACACAAAGACAGATGTGCTCTGTTGCTCATTTCTTACACAACGTCACATAGATACAGAACGTACATGGATAATATACTCCTTTCTTTCTTCTCCCTCCCTTGGATGTCGTTGCATGCCTTACCTTCAGGGGCAGGCTGATTTATGAGACGCATGCCTGTTTTTTCATGACTTGTTTGATTGCATTCTCAGCTATCGGGCACTCGGGTTGCCAAGACCATAAAAATTCACACCTGCATAGGATTGCTAGACAGTCATATGAAGCACAGTCAGGTCACGAGGAAGCAGGTGAGCTGAGGTATTTCGCTTGCCTTGATCAGCACCGCCATATATAATACAATGCAGAATGGACACTGATTGATTGATGTTCAGGTGTCCATTTTTTGTGTGTAGATAATGCAAAGGGCATGGAAGATAATATGAAAAGATTGTTGAGGTGATCTTCAATAACCTAGTTGTGAATGTTTTGTTAAATGTTTTGCTATATCGCTTTTCTCTTTTTTTTATTAGCAAAGGATAATAGCCGCAAATATGTAGTTTGTCAAACACAAGATCTTCTCTTGATTGTATTGTGTTATTTATGAGTAGTAATTATTGGAACCATGATAAAATAAACAGATCATGAGTTATCTTAAGTTACACTTCGAAAAAAAGAATATATTGAAAAGCATTTGATATTAATCTATAATACCCTCAAGAACAATTATAGAAATTCTATTTTATTTTTATTTGTTTTTTTATCTTTAGGTGTGCAGGGACTTTGGTTGTGTTTTTAATATGATTATGAGGTCAAAATTGCATAAATTTGGGGCTAAAAATATGACCGAAGATCTGTCGTTTTTTTTAAGATCTACCTTTAAATACTTTTGATTATTAAAAAATGTGAGATTTTATCCTTTGAAAACATGCAGTGTCCAAAAGTCTCAAAACTTTTAACAAACTTTCGTGACAAGTATGAAGCAAGTAAACCAGTTCCACACACTACAGCACTTACAGTATAGCTAAAGTAATTTGCAGTACCCTTCCCTATACGGCACTTGAAGTACATTCAAATTAAAAAAACAAGATAGAGAAGAAGAGACAGAACAAAAAAAACACAACAAATAAAAGAGAAAACAATACAGGATACAAAATATGAAACACTGCAAAATAGGAAACACTAGATCATACATGACTGAGTCCTCTTTAAACACCGTTTCAAGTTGGAGTTTAAACTGATCCTAGTCAGGATCCAGTTGGATTTCTATGGTGATATTTCATGCAGATTGCAGAATATGCTCAGACATTTTCCACATTGATGCACAAAGAAAAACGTCATTTGGATTTGCTCTCAAATATGACAACTCCTCATCAAGGTTAGAGATAATATCTTAGTACGCCTCTCTAGATCCCTTACATCATGATTCCACCCGTGTCCTAAGACCATGTTCAGGGTCAGCACATGCTGTCTAGTCCCATGTGGATACAAATGACCTCCTGTAGCAATAATGCAATAAGTGTTGTCTCCTATCTATGTTCTCTGGGTTCTTTTTCACTGGGACTGACACAATCGTGCATTTATCAGTGTAATTGCAAGAGTTGGAAGCACTGATGTTGTCTATTAAGCGGATTTCCATCCTGTAAAGAGCAGAGGGCCTTTTAATGTATGGCCCTGCCTGAGTGTGCTGCTACACAATTACACACGGGCCAGAGATTGAGTGGGCTGATGATGCTGATGATTGGGATGGTTGGTGATGGCAGTGATGATATTGGACCACCCTGCACTCATCTAACAAGCCTTTTAGAGAGAGACGAAGAGTGAAACAACAGAGTAAAACCCAGGTTAATCATTTTATTTACTCGTATTTCTCTCTCTCTCTCTTTCTCTCTCATCCGCTCTCTTTCCTTTCTTTAACCAAGTGATGGAGCCCGGACTGTGGAGGCGGGGGGGATCGATGGGGAGCGCATTACAGTAAAACGTATTGATTAGGAGACCTGCGAGCAGTGTGTTGGAGATGGTGGAATGATGCAATGCTTAAAGGAATTTATCCTTTGACTTTTACATTAACCTTTTATTGACTGCTTTGCCTGTCCATAATTAACACTCACTTTAGCTAAAGTGGTTAGTTTGAGCGCAAAGGGGGCTCTGGCTCTTATTGCAGCGAGGGCCGTGGATCTCTCGCCCGGCCGTAGTTCAAGTGCACTGTGCTGCGTGAAGGGAAAAAGCCTCTGTGAAATAGAGGCGATAGAATCCGAGATACCTTTCACATTAGCATACCATTTGAGCAGGGGCCTGCCAGGCTATAAGGTTTCAGGGCAAATTGAAATGAGTGATTGTGTTGCCAATCTCTCTTGACCGAGCGCCAGATGGGATAGTTAGGCCCATATCTGTCTGGGGTTAATCCATTTGAACAGCCTGTTTGTGGACTCACAAACACTGTTAACACACAACACCCCCCACCCCCACCCCACCCCGACACACACACCTCTTTGTCTTTGACCTTAACTTTAAGGTGGGCTGTTCTACCATGGGAAAGTCTTTTGGTGAGCCTTGTTTGTACGCCGCTGTGGCTTACACTGAATTTCTAGCAAGAGCCCGGGAGAGCTTAAGGCACCTCGCTTGATATTGACTTTTTGTTTGGTTCCATTTTAGCAGTCAGGAGACGGCACTCTGTGAACAGTGGTAGATTGTGTAAAAGTGTGTGCTGAATTACCTACACTGTATTATCTTTGATAGTCTTCCAGCCTTGATATCTTTTATATCTCTGGTAAACCAGGAGTCCTCTATTTGCAAGCTAATGTTGCAAGATCCCTTGTCAGATAAATGCAGCGGCTCTGTTGAAGGCGTCAGGTCAGGTTTTTACGGTATGTAGCCTTTCAGTATGAGTCGAGACAGCAGAAAAAGAGGCCAGTGTTTTCTTTCATAGCCATACTGCATGAATACTTAATCAGACCAAATCAAAGGCCTGGGTTCCCTCAGCCTATGGTGTCCTTAAGCTGATGTCAGCAGAACCCCACTGTGTGTGTATGTGTGTATGTGTCAGTGTGTGCTGTCTGGGTCAGTTTGCTCTCTCTCTCTCTTACTCTCTCTCTCTCGCTCACTTCTTCGATATGTATGCCAGCCATGTCCTCCTCCTCCTCCTCCTCTGAAGTGGCGCTTCCTTTAATTCGCACCCTAAATAAATGATGAGAACATTTAAACACACGGCTCGTCGCAAAGCCCCAAGGTCGCCTAATCGTATTATTTATGAAGTGATGTGCTACATAATGGTACTTAGTGCATGTTAACAGATGCTATTATCAGGCCCTGATCCAGAGCACAGAAGATATATTGGAACAGTGAATGTTAATGCTGCTCCTCACCACCGTAATGCAGCAGCTCTTTAAAGGGCTAACCGCACCAAAATGCAGCACTTAGGCCCAGAGCCAGGCGGACATTAAGTGGCTCCAGTGAAAATATATAACCACAAATTGTGGCAACCCCCGGCTGTCCCCTGACAACTTAAACATCCCCTCATCTCATCCATAACTGACCCCCATATTTGTCTCTCCAGCCCTCAGTGTCCCCTCCATTCCCTCCTGTAGTCCCCTGGCCACAAGGTGGTGGTGGTCCTGTTTGTGTGCGTGTTTCCGGGATGTTTGAGGTTCACGGTTGTGGGGATGGGGTAGAGGGATACGACAGGATAGACCCCGGCATGATGACTGAGTGGGGAGTATAACTGGCCTTGTGGCTCGAGAATGAAATTCTTAGGACAACACACACACACCACACAAATGCCAACCTCCACCCCTCCCTCCTGCACCTCCAGGTCAGGGGTCGCTCTCATCTGTCAAGAGGCAGAGGGAGGGCAGATTTACAATGACAGCAGAGAGGAACACCAAGTCACCGCAGTAAATATTTACACTGCTCTGACAAAAGATGTGGCTGAGGTCTGTGGGGGTTCCAAACAAGGAAGAAATTACAGCTAACCCTGGATTATTAATCATAAAATAAAAAATCACAGTGACATGAAAGGGCTGGATTTGTCACCGCACTGTCACGATTGCAACAACAGAGAGTGATGTTCTTGCGGAAGCATCCTGCTGTGTGTGCGTCTCTGTGTATTAAATGAAAGGGGCATTAATCATGATATCATAATGATATCATGGTGTCTCATCAGCCTGAGACAGATTCTGCCATTTATTGCCTTGAAAACACTTTCCTGACACATCACTTTCTCCAAATCTCTCAGTTCCATTTAGCTCAATGGGCTTTACTAGTTCGGAGGTTTAAACCAGAAAATGATGTACAAATGACCTACAATTTAACTATAAACTATCAATAACATACATAGAGAAAGGAGATCTCTCTGAAGTATATGATGTGTAAATCTCTCCATGTGTCCTTAGTACAAACAGATTCACTTAATCTCTTATATCCTGGCAGTGGTAATTGGGCCCAGTATTATTAGTAGTCATAAAAAGCAGCGGAAACACACAAGCCGACGGCCTCCTGGTCAAACACACAATACCCACTGTGTGTTTAAAGACGAGTCAGCAAAACACACAAACACACATCATTTACTTAACAACTTGATATTACTGGGGCTTACCCCTTTAAAGCTTTCAACAGTCAATCCTGGAAGAGCAGATAGTAAAGTTTCTCTTTGAAAATGAGTGTTTAAGATTTTTTACACCCTCGACATTTGAAGTCTTTATAAAGTTCTGAGAGATTAGCTTGATAGTATTTGTATTGGTGATAGCAGTGAGAGACCTTCACTCAAGCACAAGTCTCATCCAAAGAATAAAACCACAGGTCAAAATTTAGTTTACCTGAGACACGTGTCCTAATACTGATGAGTGTCTACCAGTTGTTTTCTAAATTGGAGGGAGGAGTTAATGGGTGCGCTTGTTTCCTGTCTCCTGTTGCCTCAGGTGCCACTCCAGTCTGGCCAGACATTACCCCCTGAGGAAGCCCCAGTGGACCGGCCTTTCTGGGGTGTGGATGACCCCGGCATGCCACTACCCTTTGATCTGGCCGACATCATCAACAGAGTGGAGTTACTGCTCTGGAGGTGAGCTCTGGATGTTGACAAGTGGGAATTTGCTTGTGTACATGTTTTGAACATGTTAAGTTCATGCAGCATACAACTATTCACTGGTGGATCGTTCATTACTTCATGGGATTATTGAACTATGCCAGTTTTCTTCTGACTATCCTTACAGACCATTGTGTGAAAAGTCCAATAGAAAATGTAGAAACTATTTAGCATGTTGTGAGTAACAAGAATGCCAAAAAAGCTGGCCAAAGAAATAGGCAAACTAAAATCTCAATTTGTCAGCTTCTTCTTTTTTCTTATATCACTTTTAAACTTGTGGAGCTGCTCAGAAAACAAGCTCAAGACACCCAAAAAAGGATTCTCCTGACCTTTAAATGAAGTCAGGACAACCTGTAGTCTGTATTTCTACATAAAGGAAACACCGGCTGTCAAACATACTTTATTTTTGCAGTCAGAAGTTTTGATATTTTGGAATGGCCATTATAATTCACTTCATTGTGAAGTTAGTCAATGTCTGTCTTCCTCTCGGTCATTCATAATCAAGTATTCAACCTATGCAGGCTTTAAGTAAATTAAACAGCTTGAGAATCAAGTCTTACAATGGCAAATCCAAAAATAATCAGCATCTCTTTTAGCCTTTACAATCCCATCTTAACCCTCACAGGAGGCCTCATTTCCAGTTTTAACCATTTCAGGATAAAGATTCAAATGCTGTTGTTGTTTTTTTAAACCAGTAACCGTTTCTCGTTTTCTTTTACATCAGGATGTGAAGGGTGGACAGAGGTATTAAGAAAGAGACAAAAAAAAATACCCCACCAGCTCTTTTTCAAATGCTCCCACATCATCTGAGGGACAGACCACTGAGCAGTCCTCCGTTGTGATCCTACCAAGATTGATTTGCTTTTGATTTGGGGCATCTGCATCTCCACTTACTCTCGCCTTCCACTACCCCAGATGATGTCCTTGGCATCTAAGCCTGCTACACCTTGGATCTGGCTTGAAGAACAAACCAGAGCACCACAATATTACCACAATAGTGCTTCAGTAACATGCTAACAATGCTAGCAGCGCTTAATGACATGCTACTAGTGACACAATGGTCTAACGAAAAAAAACACAAGTGGAACCGGCATTTCAGTGTTAGCATACATGTGTAACTATTTATTATTTCTGTGTATTCTGTTAGATAACGTCATGTAACCCAGATATGCTTTCATCAATGTATGGACTCTTTTCTCAGTAGTCACAGTACAGTACATACACATGCTTTCTATTTGTCACATAGTGTTATTATACAGTATGGAATGATAAAGTGCTCACACAGCGTTGCATTTACTTTTGTATAGTAAACCCCTTAATTGTCTTCAAAGGTTGAACGAGCCTGAAGAAACCAAAGAAAGGTTATGAAGAAAGTTATGAATGTCACCCAACGAAGAACATGAAGAATGTGCTTTTTAAGGTTTAAGCTGCAATGGTGTGCGTGTGCCATATTGATGTGTGTGTGTGTGTGTGTGTGTGTGTTCACTAGCCATGTGAATATACATGTCAGTTGTCTATTTGTGTGTTTGTGTTTGTGAACGTTCACTCTCCCACTTGTCTACATGAAGGCGTGTGTGTATGAATGTGATAGTGTGTGTGTGTGTGTGTGTGTGTGTGTGTGAGAGCCTGTAGGCAGCCTGCCAGTTGTTTGTTCTTGAAGATACGCATATGGAGAAACAGAGAGTAGCAGCGGGGCCCCCTCTGCCTCTGCTCTGATGAAAGACAGCGCTGATAGAATGACCCGGAACACAACCGCCGTTTCTCATAATTACAGCTGTTCAATCGCTTTTAATTACTCTTAAAGTGTGTAGAGCACCATATTCCCCTGTAATGCTGCAGGCCATCCGAGAAAGAGAGAGAGGGAGAGAGTGAGCGAAACATCCGGAGCTTCTGACAAAATCCACTTTCAAAAAAAAGCTCAGAAGGGTGGAAAAGGGGGCCGACGTCAAAGCAGCGTATCAGCCCTCCTCATTTGATTCCTTTATCTAGTTCATGATGAAGTAGAGACGCTGTTTACTATTAAAAATGCAGAATGCACTCCTTTTTTTACTTCTGAAGTTTTTTCCAAGATGTTAATAGTTGCCAAATGCTGTTCTTCTTGCTTCTTTTTTTTGCTGCGCCTCTGTTGTTTGTTGTTGTCAGAGAGATTTGTTTGTAGATCGGCAGTAATGTTGACTTGTTTGAATCACTCTGTGCTCCCTGCGCCACAGCTTGTCTGTCTGAAGCAATAGGAATGGCAGTAAATAAAAAAACAAGTGTTTTATTCAATGACCTGCAGTGCTCTTTCTTCTGTTTGTTTTGTCAATTTTTATAAAATTCCTGGTGAAAAACCCACATATGACAGGTACAAACATTCCTTCAAGCATGTTTTGTAGTCCATTTTAAATCTACTATGATTGCATCTTATATCTGAAGCTAATCTTAAATGTAAGCATGCATCTCTTTAATCGTCCACTGTGGTGAAATTGAGTTACTGCGCTGTGAAGTATCCTCTCCCTCTGTATTCCTCAAGATACCAGCATTCAGAAAGATGCTTACTTTAGGGGAGTACTTCTCTGGGATGAATATCAGGTACTGTATATCCACACTAGATCAAGGTCACTAAGTGCTTACATGCACATTAGGTCTACTAATAACTCATATCCTTTAGATGTGTGAGTTGCTGTGTGAACTTGAGGGGTCAGGATTACTGTATCAGATTTGACAGGGTGAACAACATTTGGTTTTCCAAAGTGATTAAGACAAAAATAGGTACTTATTAAAAATTATTTCACGACCACAGTGTTTGGCTGAATTAGCTTTTCTGGTCCTGACATGTAAACAGGTTTTTCATCACCACTAACCTCACATTACTAACAACAAACTGTTTTGTTCTTGTACAATTCTTTTTTTTCTTTTATTTAATCGACTGAGATACTTCAATTAAAGAAAAGTTTAATTTAAGTGGAACATACAACAAGACTTAATTATTCACAAGGGTTTTTGTTGAATTATTTTATGGCAATGGCCTGGCATGGTTCTGTCACTACATTGTCCAACTACCACCTGGAATCTCTTTGGTTTTTACTGATGAAGGTCTAAAATTTTGTCAATAAATGTTTTCAAGTTAAAAAGTGTGCAGGAGTTTAGGTATTTTGATGGACACATTATTCTTCCATTCGGGTCATTGCACAAGATTTATGTGTGTGGAGTCAGAAAAATAGAATGGGTGGTCATTATGTTTACAACACACTCCACAAAAGGATGATTTGTTAGGACTTTCTGACCCCTTCATTTTTTTTTTTTTTAGAACTATCATAAGGTCAAAAGTGTGAGTTTAAAAACATGTGCATACATTCATCATTTCTATACTTTTCAAAGAACATTTGCATTTTGACCAGCTGCTTCTTGTATCTGTCTTTTTTTTTTTAAACTTAAAAGGGACCGTCTTGATTAGCAGAGCAAACAGTTTCTACAACAGAATGATTGATGGATTGATTGATTGAATTATGTCTCTGCCAGTGTTTCTACAAAAAAAACCTCAACTCCACACCCCTCCTACCAACTATGGACCGCCATCCCAGAGGTCGCCCATGTTAACTACTTCCTGTAGTGGCTGAGTGACTGAGTGATGGATGAGTTTGGAGCGCTCTCCCCTCAGGGGCCGACTGGAAAAGGGCCCCACTTGAGAAGACAATTACATAGCGTTGGCAAGAGCCACAGGTATGCATTGTTCTGACTGGGGTCAGCCGCCAGCCAACAATAGGTGCAGGGAGAGATAAAATAACCAGGTGTGGTGGGGAAAGGTATCGGTTTGGGGTCATATCCCAGTCAAATGTTTCAGTGTGTGGCTGGGACTGAGCATTTGTATGAAACCAGGAAATGGATGTGAATCTAAATTAGATTAAAAAAAAAAAAAAAAGAAAATAAAAGTGTGGAATGGAAGACAATTATTGTGTTTTTATGTGAATAATGGCACTATGCAATTGGGCTAATTTTATTGTATTTTTTTAACTGACAGACTCTTACCTTTACACTGTACTGCATTATGTTACAGTGAAGACTGAATAAAATGTGTTTTTATAATCAGGTCTACTATATTCCTCTATGTTAGCACGTTCCACTATTTGTGTTTGTTTTAAAAAAAATATAGAGACATCTGTTAAGTTCTCTGTGAGCTATTTTGTACAAAGGAAAAGACGTGTGAAATGTTTATTAGTGTGTGTGTGTGTGTGTGTGTGTGTGTGTGTGTGTGTGTGTGTGTGTCCTGGGTTCCAGAGTACAGGCCGGTGTTGGAGGCCCCGGGGCCACAGAGGCAGTGGTAATTGTAGAAGCAGGCTGAAGAGCTGAAGATAGCATCGGTGCTCTGGGGCGGCTGTCAGCAGTGGGATGGGCTGCACTCATTTGTCACCAATGCAGACACACACCACTCAGTACCGACAAAACACTGATTTGATTGACTACTTGTGAAGCAACACAAGCACTAATGTTTTGCAGCTGTTAATTGCACTAAAGGTCGTAAGGAAGGCAGAGTGCAGAGTTTCATGTCAGTGCAAACATAACGGAGTGACTGCTCTGAAACAAAGAGTAGTGTAAAAGATTTTCCCCCGTATGTGACTTTAACCTTAGTACTTATTTTGATAAAGATTTGAGTTGGGACTTTTTAATCCTGCTTAATTAAGTCACAGGTGAAGCATTAAATCAAGTTTGATTATTTTTATTTTTATAAAATGTATTGCATACAATGTCAGTTGAAGCTCCTGAAAGTAGTTTTTAGCTGGTTATGAAATTCACTGAAATTCATGCTGATGCCTCTATGAGCTACAGAAGCATACAAGGCAGTCAGTGAGAACATGAATTATTTGTTATTTTTAGTACCTGTAACTTATGCCACCTGGTCAGAGTCCCATGAAGCACACAAACCAGCTTTATTAAAACATTTCATTGCAAAGATTTACAGTGAGTGATCATTTTGAAAGTTAAAAGACATCAGGGGGATTTTTCTTTTAATTTTTTTTGTTATAGAATCCCTCAGAAGTATTTTCAGGACAAGAATAGCAAGGAGCTAAGATGTACCACATTGTTAACAGAGATCCCAAGATTGACTCCAAATGAAAGTTCCTGACATGTGGCTTCAGTGAGATTGACTTTTGATATCATTGTGTAGGTGTATGTAATATATATTAACAAAATATATGAGAAATTCTAAGCAGAGCAATATGATGTTCTCCTACTCCCCTCTCAAACTCAGGGCAATGACTGCTGACTATTCTAATTGATTTCTTAATTTTGAAGCATCTCCTTTTTAATCTAACCAACTGTCCTCTCTGTTAGCAGGCTGATCAACACTGACAAACTCACTGCCCCTCATTTAACTCACTATTAGCCCAAAAGTGATGTGGTCTTGATGCTGATGTTGATGCTGTCAAGATGCTAGCAGCTGAGCAGCTCTGATGAGTATAGGGTATGGCATGATAAGTGTGTGTGTGTGTGTGTGTGTATTCATGTGTGTTTCTTGGAGTCTTTGGGGAGAAAGGCCTCGCACATCAAACAGCTGTCTGATCAAATGTAGAGCATGTTTGTGGGTCGCCGCTGTGGCCCTGGCTCTGGTGACCAAAAGCCCCGATATCATCAGTCCTGCAGGACCTGGCTCTCTTTATCTCTCTGACTCTTATTTCCAATCTAAAGCCACTGACCCATTTCTCTCACTCCTTACCCTTCTATGGAGCATTTGTATACACATTTTTTTCAAATCGTCTACTCTGTCTTTAGTTACAGTC